CGTAATACTTGATGAAAAACTTGTGCGGGCCGTAATACTTTATGAAAAACTTGTGCGGGCCATAATACTTGATGAAAAATTTGTGCGGGCCGTAATACTTGATGAAAAACTTGTGCGGGCCGTAATACTTGATGAAAAACTTGTGCGGGTCGTAATACTTTATGAAAAACTCGTGCGGGCCGTAATACTTTATGAAAAAATTGTGCGGGCCGAAAGTTGATAGGACAGGGGAAAAGCTAAAAGAAAATAATAATGATGAATAATATTTCGTTACTTCGCGGGCCGCAAAGTGGATACCGGCGGGCCACATGCGGCCCGTGGGCCGTATGTTGTTCATGCCTGCTTTACAGAGTGGCTTTCTTCTTCTTCTTTTATATATTAAGGGCCCACAATCAATTTATTGATCATTTTTGGCTCCTATGCAGGTAGAGGGGATTTGCAATGCTTCCAAAAAAAACAACAACCAACACCATGTTTTGCTGACACCAAATCTTAATCTATGCGCTGGATGGACGCCTTCGAATGGGGTATGCGGATAGAGCAGGAATATTGGTTGGGGGGGGGGGTGGAAGTAGATAGTGCATATATTTTCAAACATGAATTTAAACATTTTTCGACCTTAAAGTAAACCAGTGGCGCCTTAAAATGACCAAACGAGGTGGCGCCTTAAAATGACCAAACGAGTCTTCTCATTTATTTTACGGTCTATGGAGTCGGCTAAAACAGCTAGATTCTCTAGTGAACCAATGATTCTCCAAAACACAGCAAATTTAAATGAAAAAAAAAAGCTTTAAAACGTACATTGAGGTAAGAGCTAACTTCAGCCTGTGTCAGATGTCCGTCAGCATTGCTGTCGAAATGACGGAAGAGGGCCTGCTCCACAAAATTCCAGTTGGGTTGGCCCAATGTGAAGACCGGCAGGCAAACGAGAATAGCGAATAAGCAGTTCATGTTGCTGTAATAAGGAAAGGAGAGGTGAATTGAAATCAATGAAAATAACTTTAATAATTATAAGGATTTAAAAAAAAAAAAATATTTAAAAACATCAATGCATTTTTAAAATTGATGATAAAGTATAGCTCACAAGTTATTTTCAATACTTAAACTTACATGCGCTTTGTTTGCAGGAGGTAAGTAACAAGTGGACAGTCCAGTGAAATTCCGGGGCATTTATTAATAACGAATGGTCCAAAAAGATGAGACACGCGTGAGAAATCGTCACATGGTGGCCAGAGGTCATCCACTAGAGAGTGCAGCTGATCTTTTTTTAAAGAGCTCAGCAATCCCCATTATTTTGTCAAATGTACTCAAACATATTAAACATGACCTTAGGAATAAATTATTTTTTGATAGTTGAAATACGGTGGTAAAATGTTTCTATTACGTGTTTTCTGAATTAAAGAAAACAAAAGTTTATATCTTGTACATAGCGATTAGGGTTTTATTTTGTGTACACCTAAAGTTAAATAGTCTATAATTTGTTTTTTTCGATTTAAAGTTATATTTTTCATTAAAAATAGATTTTTAAAAAAAATTTATTAAAAAAAAGAAATTTAATCTTTTTTGTTTGTCTAACAAATGGGCTAATTTTTTTATGAACTATCTAGGGTTACCTGGTCTATTAAAAAGGAACTGGAGCACAATTCTATTTTTAAATTCTGCAGATAATAAAATTGAGATTGCCAACAATCAAACAAGGTTGTCAAGGTTTTCAAGGTTTTCGAGGTGATTTAAGTACAAACTCATCAAGTACACAATCGTGATGATCGAAATAGAAAACTGTACCGAGAAGAACAATGCTTAAACATCGATGATAACGTGTGTTTAATTTTTTTTAAAAAGGGGGGGGGGGTGTTAACATAATTTCAAAAGACAGGCGCCGTGTTGTCTAGTGGAGTTCAGTTGTGAAAACCTTGACGTCAAGGCAAGCTTGCATGGCCGTTAAGCAATCAATGAACGTCCTGTATGGCGGCCGTAATAATAATCGCACTTTCTGCTGATTGGAAGACTTGCTGTAAAGATTGCGTCAATGAAGCACAGAGCACAATGTATTCCAGACTTACAGATATGAACAATTGGTGATATAGTGTACAATGTGTCAATTTTAAAGTTTTGTGTTATTATATATTGATATAAATGTTATATTGATTTTTAAAATAAAAGTTAAAGCATCTTAGGATCCCATAGTTTGTCTTATGCGATTTGTAGCTTTACAAATAACCACATTAGAGGCTGACTTAATTTCGGTTTCGGCGCTAAAAAAAAAATTGCAATGTGATCATTTTCGCCTTCCGGCCGAAACAGAAATGTTACATTTTGGTTTATATTAGGTTTTCGGCCGAAAAAAAGGATTGAGTCTTTTGGTCGTCTGCCAGAAGTCAGACAGTCACTGTCTCTGTCTGTCGGCCGGTAATCCAATGTTCCTTATTGCTTGACGTCTTGATGTTATATTATCATATGTGACTAATCTTCTGCGAACAAATCTCACAGCTAGACGGTGACCTATTTTTCAAATATTTCCACAAATAAAATAACGCTTAAGCTTATTAGGCAAAAGTAAATAAGTTTTGTGAAAAAAAAAGAAAAAAAAACTAACAAAGGGAATGTTAATGTTTCTTTTCTTATTTTTTTTTTTTTTTTTTTTTTTTTTTAAATTTGGGAAATTCAAGTTTTTTTAAATTTTTTTTTTTTTTTTTTTTTTAAATGAGTATATCATTATTATAGATGAAACAGTTCCTGAAAATTACAATGATTTGCTGAGTCCCAAATTCATACTTTTCATAATATATTTAATCGAAAACGTGAGCCCCCTATCACAATGCGTTTTATTAACATTTGTATCCATTAGGCGATGGTTTTACCTGTTGAACTCTTGACCTGACACCTGGTTGTTGGCGTTGTCGTCGGCGTCAGCGAAGAGAGCCGTGTAGTCTGATGTGCTCAGATGGTTGTTGTTGTTGGTGTCGAACTGGTCGAAGAGGGCGTGGAGCTCGCGCTGGGTGATCGGGTCATGGCTGTACTGGGCGGTGATGTGGGCGTTGTACTCTTGTCTGGACACTTGGCCGTCGCCGTCGGTGTCGAAGGTCTGATGGAAAAATTTAATTTCGAAAAAAACCTTGCAAAAACAGTTACTTGATGTCTTTTTCTCGCTTTTAAGATAGACCTATGCTTTACAGCAGGCCTGCGCAACTCAGAATGTAAGGCGGGCCGTAATACTTGATGAAAAACTTGTGCGGGCCGTAATACTTGATGAAAAACTTGTGCGGGCCGTAATACTTTATGAAAAACTTGTGCGGGCCGTAATACTTGATGAAAAATTTGTGCGGGCCGTAATACTTGATGAAAAACTTGTGCGGGCCGTAATACTTGATGAAAAACTTGTGCGGGGCGTAATACTTTATGAAAAACTCGTGCGGGCCGTAATACTTTATGAAAAAATTGTGCGGGCCGAAAGTTGATAGGACAGGGGAAAAGCTAAAAGAAAATAATAATGATGAATAATATTTCGTTACTTCGCGGGCCGCAAAGTGGATACCGGCGGGCCACATGCGGCCCGTGGGCCGTATGTTGTTCATGCCTGCTTTACAGAGTGGCTTTCTTCTTCTTCTTTTATATATTAAGGGCCCACAATCAATTTATTGATCATTTTTGGCTCCTATGCAGGTAGAGGGGATTTGCAATGCTTCCAAAAAAAACAACAACCAACACCATGTTTTGCTGACACCAAATCTTAATCTATGCGCTGGATGGACGCCTTCGAATGGGGTATGCGGATAGAGCAGGAATATTGGTTGGGGGGGGGGGGTGGAAGTAGATAGTGCATATATTTTCAAACATGAATTTAAACATTTTTCGACCTTAAAGTAAACCAGTGGCGCCTTAAAATGACCAAACGAGGTGGCGCCTTAAAATGACCAAACGAGTCTTCTCATTTATTTTACGGTCTATGGAGTCGGCTAAAACAGCTAGATTCTCTAGTGAACCAATGATTCTCCAAAACACAGCAAATTTAAATGAAAAAAAAAAGCTTTAAAACGTACATTGAGGTAAGAGCTAACTTCAGCCTGTGTCAGATGTCCGTCAGCATTGCTGTCGAAATGACGGAAGAGGGCCTGCTCCACAAAATTCCAGTTGGGTTGGCCCAATGTGAAGACCGGCAGGCAAACGAGAATAGCGAATAAGCAGTTCATGTTGCTGTAATAAGGAAAGGAGAGGTGAATTGAAATCAATGAAAATAACTTTAATAATTATAAGGATTTAAAAAAAAAAAAATATTTAAAAACATCAATGCATTTTTAAAATTGATGATAAAGTATAGCTCACAAGTTATTTTCAATACTTAAACTTACATGCGCTTTGTTTGCAGGAGGTAAGTAACAAGTGGACAGTCCAGTGAAATTCCGGGGCATTTATTAATAACGAATGGTCCAAAAAGATGAGACACGCGTGAGAAATCGTCACATGGTGGCCAGAGGTCATCCACTAGAGAGTGCAGCTGATCTTTTTTTAAAGAGCTCAGCAATCCCCATTATTTTGTCAAATGTACTCAAACATATTAAACATGACCTTAGGAATAAATTATTTTTTGATAGTTGAAATACGGTGGTAAAATGTTTCTATTACGTGTTTTCTGAATTAAAGAAAACAAAAGTTTATATCTTGTACATAGCGATTAGGGTTTTATTTTGTGTACACCTAAAGTTAAATAGTCTATAATTTGTTTTTTTCGATTTAAAGTTATATTTTTCATTAAAAATAGATTTTTAAAAAAAATTTATTAAAAAAAAGAAATTTAATCTTTTTTGTTTGTCTAACAAATGGGCTAATTTTTTTATGAACTATCTAGGGTTACCTGGTCTATTAAAAAGGAACTGGAGCACAATTCTATTTTTAAATTCTGCAGATAATAAAATTGAGATTGCCAACAATCAAACAAGGTTGTCAAGGTTTTCAAGGTTTTCGAGGTGATTTAAGTACAAACTCATCAAGTACACAATCGTGATGATCGAAATAGAAAACTGTACCGAGAAGAACAATGCTTAAACATCGATGATAACGTGTGTTTAATTTTTTTTAAAAAGGGGGGGGGGTGTTAACATAATTTCAAAAGACAGGCGCCGTGTTGTCTAGTGGAGTTCAGTTGTGAAAACCTTGACGTCAAGGCAAGCTTGCATGGCCGTTAAGCAATCAATGAACGTCCTGTATGGCGGCCGTAATAATAATCGCACTTTCTGCTGATTGGAAGACTTGCTGTAAAGATTGCGTCAATGAAGCACAGAGCACAATGTATTCCAGACTTACAGATATGAACAATTGGTGATATAGTGTACAATGTGTCAATTTTAAAGTTTTGTGTTATTATATATTGATATAAATGTTATATTGATTTTTAAAATAAAAGTTAAAGCATCTTAGGATCCCATAGTTTGTCTTATGCGATTTGTAGCTTTACAAATAACCACATTAGAGGCTGACTTAATTTCGGTTTCGGCGCTAAAAAAAAAATTGCAATGTGATCATTTTCGCCTTCCGGCCGAAACAGAAATGTTACATTTTGGTTTATATTAGGTTTTCGGCCGAAAAAAAGGATTGAGTCTTTTGGTCGTCTGCCAGAAGTCAGACAGTCACTGTCTCTGTCTGTCGGCCGGTAATCCAATGTTCCTTATTGCTTGACGTCTTGATGTTATATTATCATATGTGACTAATCTTCTGCGAACAAATCTCACAGCTAGACGGTGACCTATTTTTCAAATATTTCCACAAATAAAATAACGCTTAAGCTTATTAGGCAAAAGTAAATAAGTTTTGTGAAAAAAAAAGAAAAAAAAATTAAAAAAGGGAATGTTAATGTTTCTTTTTTTATTTTTTTTTTTTTTTTTTTTTTTTTTTTTTTTTTGTTTTGTTAAATTTGGGAAATCCAAGTTTATTCAAATCATTTATTTGTGCAATACATTTTGATGTATCCTTATCATGCTATGAGTGTTGTAGCAGGCAAAGGTGAATAGTGCTTTGCAAAAAAAAATCTAACAAATGGTAAAATGTCCATTTCATTTTTGTTTTTTCAAATTTAATTTAATAAAAGGTATGGAGCTCTTGACTTTTTCAATTCATTCATTCATTCATTTACTGCCATCATCAATATCATGCTCATAAACAGTGCCATTGGCAACGAAGTACAAATTTTAAATATCACACCAGCTATGAAAAAAGTGTGAAGAAACAGACTATTAACCTTTAGTAATATGCTTCAACTTTATGATGTTAAAAACGTAAATCTCATTCTGTAGACTTCTTTTTAAAGTTAGGAATTGTGCTGCGTTTTTGCAATTGCAAATAGAAATTATCGCAAAGGACCTACCATTATTATCCCGATAGCATCGGGTCATTTATTCTAGTACATATCTATAAAATTATAAGCGATTACATGTATTTCCGAAGCATATAACAAACAACTTTGGTTAGTTTGCCAAAAGGGGCCAACAAATAACTGGCTCAAAAGACTTGACAACATAATTTCTTATCTAAAAAAACTTGGCATGATGTCTCCATAGATCATAACGACAAAAAAATAAAAAATAAAATAAAAACACCAGTAGACTTTGTGGGGCGTTACATCATCAGCTTGTCGTAGGTCATTTTAGAAAAAAATAAAATAAGTTAAGATCACTCAGCTCCCGACACGAGGTGGATCATGATTTTTAAAAAAAAATGGATTTCACTTATTTGAACTTTGATTTTGTTACTCGTTCAGTCTCGTCAGATGACATTCTGCAGAAATTATTTTTTTGTTTTAAATTTCAGTACCTCTTTACCGTAAAGTCTTCACCTGGACAGTGGAGCAGCTAGAGTTTGGGACGCAGGCGCGCTCATAGCTAGAGTTTGTGACGCAGGCGCGCTCATAGCTAGAGTTTGTGACGCAGGCGCGGTCATAGGTAGAGTTTGTGACGCAGGCGCGGTCAAAGGTAGAGTTTGGGACGCAGTCGCGGTCATAGGTAGAGTTTGTGACGCAGGCGCGGTCAAAGGTAGAGTTTGGGACGCAGGCGCGGTCATAGCCAGAGTTTGCGACGTCAGGGGTGGTAATAGCTAGAGTTTGTGACGTCAGGGCAATCATAGCTAGAGTTTGTGACGCCAGGGGGGTCATAGCCAGAGTTTCTGACGTCAGGGTGGTTATAGCTAGAGTTTGTGACGTCAGGGCAATCATAGCTAGAGTTTGTGACGCCAGGGGGGGGGTCATAGCTAGAGTTTGTGACGTCAGGGTTGGTTATAGCTAGAGTTTGTGACGTCAAGGGTATCATAGCTAGAGTTTGTGACGCCAGGGGGGGGGGGTCATAGCTAGAGTTTGTGACTTCAGGGGTGGTTATAAATTATGCTTCCAGCCCACTCACTTAGACCACAGAACTTACAGAAAATGTGGCCCACAATCACATTTTGCGCTGTGAGGACCACAGGCAGCTCATCAATAGGAAAGTGCTCACGTGTTTTTTGTAATAAAGTATACTTGTTGTTTTTCAATATAGATCGTTAAGTATCGATAATATATATTTAATTATTATTATTATTATTATTGGAGTGGTCTTACATAGTGTTGTACCCCGCCTAGGAATATATACGGACATGCAATGAACTATTCTATTTGACAAGTTAATTTTATTAATCACAAATTAAAAAAAAATAACATGGATAAAAATTCGGCAAGGCTGTCAGCTAAATGGAAATGTCCACAATAAAAAACTGTGTTTACAACCAGGGTAATCTTTATTCTTTAACCTATTTTGGCATCAAAATTCATGTGCCCTCACTAGAATTTAAGAAGAACAAAAAAAAAAAAAAAAAAAAAAAAAAAAAAAAAAAAAAAAAACAAAAAAAAAAAAATAAAAAAAAAAAAAAAAAAAAAAAAAAAAAAAAAAAAAAAAAAAAAAAAAAAAAACCTGCCTTAAAATTACTCTTCTACAATTAAACCTGATGTTGGTGAAACACTGACGAGTTCTGACTACTGTTTGTCGTTCGGGCATGAAATTAAAACTGTCCTTAACTTGAGGACTTGATGACTTTAATAAGGAATCATATTAATTTCTGGGGCAATTAGCTTTGGCACTTATACAGGTGCATGTTTGTGAAAATTTAAGTTATTTTTACATCTTTAGTCCTTAATCTTTTAGTAGTACAAATAAATGGCTGATGTGGGCGTTGATGTGGACGTTGATCGTGGGCGTTGGTGTGGGCGTTGATGTGGGCGTTGATGTGGGCGTTGATGTGGGCGTTGATGTGGGCGTTGATGTGGGCGTTGATGTGGGCGTTGATGTGGGCGTTGATGTGGGCGTTGATGTGGGCGTTGATGTGGGCGTTGATGTGGGCGGTGATGTGGGCGTTGATGTGGGCGGTGATGTGGGCGTTGATGTGGGCGTTGATGTGGGCGTTGGTGTGGGCGTTGATGTGAGCGTAGATGTGTGCATTGATGTGAGCGTAAATGTGGGCATTGATGTGGGCACAAAAGAGGCCGTTGATGTGAGCGTAATTGTGGGCATCGATGTGAGCATTGATGTGGGAATTGATCTGGGCACAAAAGAGGCCGTAGATGTGGGTACAAAAGAGGCTGTTGATGTGGGCGTGGATGTGGGCATTGATTTGAACGTAAATGTGGGCATCGATGTGGGCATTGATGTAAGCACAAAAGAGGCCGTTGATGTGAGCGTAATTGTGGGCATTGATGGCGGCATTGATGTGGGCATTAATGTGGGCACAAAAGAGGCCGTAGATGTGGGCATTGATGTGAGCGTTGATGTGGGCGTTTATGTGGGCATTGCTCTGGGCACAAAAGAGGCCGTTGATTTGGGCGTTCATTTGGGCGATGATGTTGGCGTTGATGTGGGCGTTGATTATGGCATTGATGTGGGCGTTGATTTGGGCGCTGATGTGGGTGTTGATGTGGGCGTTGATGTGGGCGTTGTAGTCTTGTCTGGAGACGTCACCGTCAGAGATTTTAGCAGAAAGAGTTTCTGTTTTAAAAGATTTTAATATAGTTAGTAAATCTAAGTAAAAGATGAACGTAGTTAGTGTGCCGCGATATGCTGTCCAGTGTGCCGCGATATGTTGTCCAGTGTGCCGCGATATGCTGTTCAGTGTGCCGCGATATGTTGTCCAGTGTGCCGCGATATGCTGTTCAGTGTGCCGCGATATGCTGTCGAGTGTGCCGTGATATGCTGTCCAGTGTGCCGCGATATGCTGTCCAGTGTGCCGCGATACGCTGCCCAGTGTGTCGTGACAATGGGAAGAAAACCCNAGTGTGCCGCGATATGTTGTCCAGTGTGCCGCGATATGTTGTCCAGTGTGCCGCGATATGCTTTTCAGTGTGCCGCGATATGTTGTCCAGAGTGCCGCGATATGCTGTTCAGTGTGCCGCGATATGCTGTTCAGTGTGCCGTGATATGCTGTTCAGTGTGCCGCGATATGTTTCCAGTGTGCCGCGATATGCTGTCCAGTG